AGGCTAGTGACAAAACGAGCCCTCGCTCGTGCAAGGACACAGAAGTGACTTTACTGCACAGTGGGTGGAGTTCGGTAGATGACATCACTGCTCTGGATGACACTACACCACTCCGCCCACCACCGACTCTTGCGAGTCCTGCAGGTGATGAATAAATTAGCCAAGAACGCCCCCCACCAGCTTCCTTTTCCTCCAGAAGCCCGCGGGACTCAAGAGGGCTGGAGACTGGCGGCAGAGATTCAGTGAACTGTCTCCCATCAGTGTCACACGGCCAGGTTCAGTTTCCTTCCGTTTTATTTCTCTTTCATTACCAGGCTTTGGAATCTTTAAAAAGGACCCACAATCACACCGGATCTTAAAATCACCTGTAGCAGCTGACATGCTGTGGGAAAAAGATACTGCAAGATTTCCCTGAAAATCCACTTAAAAGACCTTCGAGGCCCCTGTGAGATCTACAACGAAAATGGCTCATGCACGCTCCCTGCGAGAGAGGGGTAAGGATGTGTTGCCCACACAGGTGGGCCAGGTCACACACATCATGACCGAGATGAGCGCACACAAAATCACAGCGCAGCTCTCTTTCTAGTTTTGCCCGACATCCCTGGATGATGAATTAATTTCATTTACAGCTGGTATGATGATGCATGTTCCAGTGCCTCTCATTAAACACACTCCATGTAACACAATAGATATTAATGATCTGCTCACGTTATCCACCACATTCTCATTAGAGTTCTTGTTTCTCTGCTTAATTAAAGAACTAAGCCTTGTTCAAGTTTTATCTTTCGGAATACTTCATGACACCATACGCAGTCAGTGGGTCAGACTTAGCTGCTCCTTATGAGGATGCTGGTCCAGAGCAAACAGCCCAATTTGCAAGCTCAGCTCTTCAGTATTTTTCAAGAAAAGTAACTCACAAGACTCTCCTGTTAGAAGATACTGCCTCATCTAAAGAGAAACAAACCAGTCTGCTTCTTGAGGAGAAAAAAACACTCCTCTGAACGTGTTCCCTGGCGAGTAGTAATCAATAGACGTTCTCACGGACTCTTCTGAATGTTGTGAAACAGCCATAAAAATCACAGCTTAACTGTAATGAGGATCAAGGCGCAGGGAGTCTGGGAAACGTGCCTGGTATTATGCAGGCAAGAGCTGGCTAGTCGCTGGGTCCTTATGATGAGGGGAGAGATGGTGTAAGAAGGTATATTTGCACATCCTTCCCAAATTACAATCTGCACCACCAAAATATTGTGGGATGGGACTGGCCTGGTGTCCGTCCGCCAAAAAATCTACCCTGTGTCCATGGCACAAAAACCTGACTCCTGCATGATAATCTGCTAATGAACAGCCCTGAAGCACAAAGGCCGATCCTGCCAGATTCTGAGCTGTTTGTGTGTGCTCTTTTTGGTGCTTGGAGCTGTGCTGTATCATTTTCACACAGCAGAGCTCTGGATACCCTCATGAAGTTTTCCTGTAGGTTCTTTGCAAGGTGAAGGTACAGCAAAGCGAGGCAAAACAAGGTTCAAATGACAAGAGATCACACATGCAGT